GGTGTCTTAAAGCGTTGTAAATCTTAGAACCATGAAAGATTTACGTCTATTCGTTTGGTGAAACCTCTTGGGTTTATTAAAGGAGTGTTTCTGAGAGACATGAAATAAATTCTTATATATGGGACACTCTACAGAAAATTCGTAATACGATTATATTTAATGTTCGTGATGATGTAGAATTTAACTCGCTGAGAAATTTTGTGATATTTTCGATCCGATAGTTTATTTAGGTATTTAGTTTCCTCTTCTATTTCATTTCACAACTATCTGAGACTTCTACTTCCAACGTTCGAAATTAGCTATCAAAGATTAATCATGTCGGGATTACGATTAGTAGGAGAAATCCTACGATAAGCTATTTCCCCCAGGATGTTCTTAACTTATTTTATTGCCCTGTAATTCACTTATGAAAGAAAAGTTCTTAATACAATTGTACTTTAAAAATAAAAGTAAAGTGTGTCTGTTCCAATGATTTTCCTCCCCCGTTTCTTCTTTCAAAAAATATTAGTTCAAGAAACTTAATCATATATAATTTGTACAACAAGATTGCAGTTTATGTAAATGCTCGTTACTGCACCTGAATTTTTTACTGCCATTCGTGATTTTTATACGTTCCCGCAAGATTAATTGCGTCACGCATGTACTACGAGATTTTATGTTCGTTTTTTCACTTTTTTATACCTTATTATGTACGTATTTATAGAACAGAGACGTTATAAAACGCTATTTTCTTCCATGAGAAGACATAAAAAATCAGAAAACACCAATATAGAAAATCCGGGCGAATAACACTGGAATTCCTTCTGCAAAAGTGAGAAGAAAATATAGAACGCAATTTTTTCGCCCTAAGGTCAGTTTTCCAGCGAATCTGGTTTGTAGATTTGTCAGGTATACTTGCCTAATACCGACTGAGTAAATTATGTGAATAAGTAACCAGCAGAAGGTTATTCTACATACAACAGAATACAAAATACAACAGAAGTGTAGAATAACATTTTTCTGTTTAGTTAAGAATTGTCTTGGTACACTGTGAAAAATTTTTGAATTTATTTATCTCGGAACCAGAACACCTTGTGGACAAATGTTATTTTACATCTTCGACTTATTTTCATTTGTAAAATAATCTTCCGTCGATTATTTTTTCTTGCTCAATCCGGAATTAGTCACGTTCAAGTACAGTTGATAAATTTTCAAATTCGATTTTCTCCGGCGGAGCTCAACGGTTCAATTCGTAGCACGTTAAGTATCGTCGTCGTTGCATCGTGCAATTGGATAACTCGGCGTTGCGAATTCGCGCGAGTCGAATCGATTTCACGTTTGCTTCTCTTGCTGCGTCGTGCGAAAATATCGAAAGAAAAAGAGAGCAAAATTTTAATCCGCTGGTTGTCGATACATTGAACAGTCTCTTAAATGCGCGTCGGATGTCAAATTTAATCCGAAAAGCGGCGCATGAAGAGAGCCGACAATCTGCTCGTCGATCGATAGGAATTAATTAAATCAGATTTTCCTGGCGCGAAGAAGGGTGCGAGATATCTTTTTCCTCTTCTTTTTTTAACTTGTGATCAAATGGCAAGAAAGAGGGACGATTCTTCTTCATCTTGGTTTCACGGATCTTTTGACGTCCTTCTTTGGTGTGAGTGTGGCGATGGTTTGGTGTCGTAACATTTGTAGCCTTTTCTGTGAATTATTACATTACCGCTCAGGAATATCCGGATATTTGCTTATTTTTGACCAGGCATATTTTAATAATAAGGCTGCAATGGTTTGGTTCTTTCTAATCATAATCCTTTAACTTTTGAATTATAAGACAGATTAGGCCTCTTAAACTGATAGAAATAGTTCCGATGTTAATACAACCAATGATACTTAAATAGTATAAATATGCATATAGTATATACCAAAATATACTACAGCACGACTGCAGTGTTTCTTAATATCCAATTTAGATTTATATCTTGGTGATTCCGTAAAAAGGTAATATGTGCTGCTTCTAATTACTAATTCAGCATTAATTTATACGCTTTGGTGAAATACCGTGACGTCAAATCAACCAGTGTGTTAGCATACTTACGAGCAAAAATATATATTACATCTGTCCTGTACAATCTTAAATTTTTTAAATGGGACTGTGGATGTTCGTGTTTCCATTTTTATGAACATAATTAACGACGTGGAATAGAAATTCCTTTTTAACAACTAAATATCCATAGTAAGTGCTGTACTTTGAATACTTTATACATTATTGCACATTACAATGCATTCTATAGATCTTTGACATTTTGAAGTTTCTAAAAATGCATAGCTACCTTCGTGATCTATATAGATAATTATCTATCATCGTTCAGAACGATCGCAAATTATCATCGAGCCTTTCCAATTAAATTTTATATGTCCAACTTGGACATCTCACGAATTCGTGGCATCTTTACCTCGTTGATTTGAATCTTTCACGAGATTCGTACTTGTTTCGAAGGAAGCTCATGGAATCCCGAGCAATTGGTCGTTGACACATTTTGCTGCGGCGTTGGATGATTTTTAAAGACGGCCAGACTCGATTGACCTCGGTATTTATCGCCATCGAGGTATTTTTGCATCGAATTTTTACGTAATACGTTAATACGTATAACTTTTCATAGCACCATGGACGATCGTTGCATAAGATTGCTCGCGAATTTCGTCATATATCACGGCAGAATTCGTTCTTTGATTACAATTTATGTTTCTTCCTGTTATCATCGATAATAATCGATCGGCTCACGTGTACAGTTCTAAATAACACCTCGACAAACACGTGCTGTAGATTTTGTATCAATAGTATATTTTTCGCATATGTCTTTTACGAGTGTTACTGGTGATAAATCCTCTATTTTTTATTGCAAGGAACTTTATTTGCGGTTTTGTAGCGTTTGAGAGGCACAATTGAATTTTACTTTGAAATTTTATGTTACTAGTGCTGGTGATGCAGTATTTGTACGTTAATGTCATTTAAATGTATGTAAAATGTTATGAACATTAATGATGTAAAAATGAAGTTGAATTTAAATAGGTAGGATCTCTTTCTCATTGGAAAAAAATAGTAAATTTCGAAAATATGGGGTGTAAATGTTAAATGGTAATTAAGCTGAATTTTTTATGTTGCTGATTTTTCTCTATTCTCTGTATTTCTGCTGTATATCTGTTAATAAGTTTAAGTCTAATAATAGATTAGAGTCGTCTTATGAAATGAACTCTACCACTTTGGTATGGTTTAAAAAGAAATTCGACTATTCAACCCAAAATGTTCCTCATCAGCCTCATTATTACACATGAAACTATAATAAATTAACCCAGATATGTCTAGTATTCAAAAGATGATTCGAAGATAATTTTATTATATTTTGCAATTTTTCTAGAACTAGTCATATTATCCAGTATCCTTCAAAATTGGTGGACACTTTTCTAATGATTTTATTTTGAGAAGTAAGTATAGTTTTTTCTGGATCAAAAAAGTCTGTCCATTCTGCATCTCTCAAATTACGGACGAAAAATAGTAAAACTTTATTTCTTTCTTATTCTTCTAGCAAATTTTTTTTTTTTACATATAACACGCTATAAAGTAACATAATTTATTTACTAACGCAAAAAAAATCTGATAATTACATGATAATTGCCAATTCATTCGTTTTATTCATTTACGTAACTTGCCATCTATATAGCGAATGAAAGGATATCTTTGCCTTTTAATGAGATCTTTATTCTTATCGACTGTCGTGTTCAAAATCGTTCTTTTATTCTATTTCTATTAATCGTGTTAAGATTGTCTTAATTTTTAATAAATGCTGGCAAGACATGTGATTTCGTTGTCAACTGGTTATCTTGTTTGAATAATCGTCTCTTTAACTAATCATTCCGAGTAATTTACGTAGGAATAGGTAATTGTGCATGTGAAAAACACTTCATAACAAGCATGACAAATCGTTACATAGGGATACATTGTGAAACAACTTTACATATTTATACGTTAGAAATTCTTTTCGCTATTATAAGCCACCCTCTAGCGAATCAAAGAAATTTCATCCTCCAATTTCTTCCCTCCAAATTTTTATTATTATTAAAATAATTCTAAAAGAGACCAACCTAAATAATAACCTTCCTAATTCAATAATTTTCAATTAACAAGTCTCTCGCATTTATTGCTAATAAAATTTCAACAAAATTCGACAAAATTCATTGGAATTTAAACATAAAACATTCGATCGGTCACGATCATGTGAAGCATAGATCGCTTTATTCGCAATCATCTTAACTATATGGATGTTTGTCCAACGATACTCATCGAGTTCTTTTTTTATCGAGTTTCATGATGCAAAATAGGCTCTACAAGCAGGCTTTTATTTTATGGAATCATTTCGTCACCAACAAGCCGTCTACCTCGCGGAGTATGGAACGTGAAACTTTCGCCCGTTCTCAGAATCTCGAACCGCGGACATTATGCATATTTACATCTTGATGGTTTTATGCAAATTTTTTCATAGTCATTTCCAAACGCACTCGGCATGGAGCTGAAATTATTCGACGGCCTATATCTATTGTAACTGTCTAATTGCATTTGCATTACTCCTTATCATTTCTTGGATGTCGAAACTGTATTTTGATAGGCAGAGTTTGAACACGAATGTAGAAAACATTGTTACAAGAAAGTAATTTAATTTTATTCTGATTTTAAGCGCTAGACAATATATGATGCAACATTAATAATAGTAATAAATTATTTCTAAATTAATAATACTATTTACAAGCATACATAAAACCTTACCTTTTATTTTATACTAAATAATGTTATATATTATTCATTAATAATAATATTTTATAGACGAGTTTGGCCTTTGTGTTATTATAAACGATAAGAATTATTTATTTCATTATAAAATATTATATACACGTTTTAAAACAAAGGAAGTAAAGTTTCATATATATTTTAGGGTGCGGTGGAGGGGGAATAATGAATAATATATATCTAATAGTGGGAGATCAGAATGTTTAGCCTCAAATAGGAATTATGGAACTACACTTTGTACAGGACGACGGTGGCTATGTGGTTACTGTAGCTGACTGCAAACACATAGGTTGGCGAATCCGTACGTGCCCTCCTGCATTTTGACTTAAGTGTGTTCAGGATCAGAAGTGAAATGTGATGTGTGTGAGAATCCGTACTTGGACGACGCAGCTTTTCTCTTCTCTATGTCTTAGGTCTCTCTAGGACATTACTCTCCCGAGATGTGAAAAATAAAAATAAAATAGAAAGAAATAAAAAAAAAATAAAAATAAAAAAAGCCTACCTATGAAAACAACATAGAAAAAATGTGAAAAATAAAAAAAAGCAACCTAAGAAAGAAAAAAGAAAAAGAAAAGAGGAAAAAAAAACTCTCTTCCTCATATTCGTAATACTTGTAACACAGCAACATTGATACTAACCCCGAACAACGAAACGAAGGTCACCTGTCATCGAAGTGATTGTGAAGAAGAATAAGTTTGTGTGAATATCCGTACTGCCATTGCCTTAGTGTAGTAGTCGAGCTACAGATTCCAGGTTTAGGCCCCGTAGTCCATATTTTTTGATAATTCCTACAATAATATTTTCTAATTAGACTTACAGATTTTTATGCAAATTTATCTGCGAGAATATATTTAAAAAAGTAAAATCCCGGTAAAAGACAAAAGGGTCGACAATTGCATTACCTATTAAGTATTATAGAAAAATATTAAAGGAAGCATACATATTTCGTCGTATTACGTGCAAATTTTCCACAAATGCGTAAAAAACCGCAATCTATTTACATAATAAAATAAATAATTCTTATGTGTCATAAGTCAAATTTTCTTTACCATTCCCTCCAGAACTTCTTGTCTCCTCAGAATATTGCCTAACGTTGTGTCTAAAGATGTAATCGCATCTCAACAGAGATAAAAATTTGTCAAAAGAGGAAACTAATTACCCTGCTAATGAGACGTCGAACGACGTCGTAGACCAAGAAAACGAGATCGATGCTTGAGGAGTGGAATCCGGAAAGATGGAAGAAAAACGTTGGTAAAGAGCCATTTACTCGCAACTGCGACGTTTCATTCACAAAGCTCGTAAGCGACTCAAAAGTTCCAGGATCTGGCTTTTTCCTCATCGCAAACGATTCGGCGATAAAAACAAAACACGAGTTACAGAATCCTGAGACGTTTGAAGATTATAGACCTTTTGCTTTTGTTTCTTTCGGTCGTTTAAAAGTATGTATGATGTCTGTAATCTTTGGGGAAATGAGTTTATTAGTCATGGTTCAAGTTATCTGGAGTGGGTTGATAGTTCTGGAAAGATCTTTTGTCCTTTATGATAAGAAAATTTGTTATTTAGAACGAAGTTTCAGTCAAAGGATAGTATCTAATTTTATAACTTAATAAGCGATACTTGTTGAGTTTTATGAGCTAAATGCGAATCTACGAACCTGTTTTTTTCAGTACCCACAGTTGTCGAAAAAGTCAAGATTGAAAACAATTACAAATTTTCGATATTGATGTTCTGTGTTACAGGATACAAAATCGTTTTCCATTGATGAATTTTTATTTAAGATATAAGAGAATCGTGGAAAATATATGTCGGATAAAAGAAATATTACTTGAACTATCCTTATCAAGACGAGCAAATTTATAAACATTACCCTTACATGTCAAGGATAAATCTACAAAATAAATCGAAATAAAAATAATATATTGGAATATATTTTATATTTTTTTGTATCAATATAGATATAGAACAAAATTTAAAGATTGTGAAAGAGATAAGAGGATGGAAAGTCGTCGTGTCTTTGGATAGAAATGTTTGACTGACAAGAGAGGAAAGTTAAATAGTTGTTGAGTAAACAGTACAGAACGACGAAACGCATTTCCATCGATCACATAATCATATCACAATGTAATGGTGTATTGTTTAGCATTAATTAACTCGCAGCGAAATCGAGATTAGATGTACGATAACAAGGGAAGCCAGCTGGCTTGATAATAATAATTGATTCAATAACCACATCGAAGTTGAATCAAGGCGACCTGCTTAGAATCGACCATGCATATATATGTTGCGTTGTATATATCGTATTACGCAAAGAAAAGTTGCGTTACGTAACATTTTCAACGTAATTTCCTATTTATTCCTATTATTTCTACAATTTGTTTCATATTTGATTTTATGAACATGGCGTATTTTAACCTTCGAATGACGGAGGCTGTCTGAATTCTGATACACGCAGACATTTCTAGGATTCACTACTTTTTGAGCTACATACTCGTCTATAAAGGCTAGTTTTTAAAATGATTTCAATAAATGACATATTTTTTAATATGTTGTCGGAATGATGATTCCAAACAACTTTTTCCTTACACATAATCCGCGAGATATTCGTAAAAAACTGTTATCACCACTACAGTAAATTCTACCTATCATTGTGTGTTCGTGACAACGTACGTGTTAGTATTGTTTGTCGATTGCCTAGAGGCGCGGTTGTTTATGTACGGACATGATTATATTATATACAGTGTATTATATGCTGTGCTTCAGTTTGTAAACACAGAGAGGTGACAAAGAAATATAGCTTCTTTTTAGGCGACACAATGTTTGCCTACCACTACAAGGCATGCAACTTGATGGCGTAAGCTGAGCATCGATTGTCAATCTTTCGGTTACTACGTTGAATTACTGTCGGTCGTTCGGCAGACGTCGATGGACATTGCGTATATTATAAACGAAAGATAAGAGTTAAGTTTGGGTTAGGTTATTGCATCTGGCCGTCTCTAGGCACGTACACTGTCACGGACGTGCAACTATAGGCACAATTCACTGTAATTATCGATATTTTATTGCGAATATCTTGGAAATTAAAACCGTCCGCGGATTCTATGCAAGGGAAAGGTTATTCGGATGATTCTGACCACCGACAACATGTTCCAAAACTATTGAATTATTAGAATATAAAAATTCTTCCGCAAAAGATTGATATTGTAAAAATGAAATTTGATATCTGATGAAAAAAGCATTTTATTAGAAAAGAAATTGACCGATACTTTTTCTAGCCACTGTAAAGGAGGGTCGATATTATTGCCAATTTTTAAGATTTTCAACATTGTATCGACAATATATTGAAACTACAGCGAGATTGACACATACAAAAGTCCATTTATAATGGCACAAAAAAGTATCCTTTTTTACGTACGACACCGCCAAGAACTTTAAATATTGGTAGTAATACCGATTTTTTGAATGTTTTTTACACGATAGATACAATAGTGTACAAATACAAGAAAGGTGAACGAATTCAAGAAAAGCAAGAACGACAAAATGCCTATCTCCCTTTCCTTCTTATCTCGTGTTTTCAATCTCAGACGCGTGCTGGAACGTCAGCTGGAACATCTCGTAAGCCAACTTCTCTCTTTCTCTCTTTACGCCTCTCTTCGGACAAATTGGAAACGTAGCAATCGAAAGTGAACCTTGACACCTTTTACAACCCCACCTATCCTCTCTCTGTCCCTGTCTCCCCCCTCCACGTTGCCTAGGTAGCTTGTGCTAGTCGTTTTTCGAGAGGCGACACACTCGACACCGGGATACATGTGTTGTTCTCCTCGGTCGACCGCATCAGCCAGCAGGGAAGTTTCTTAAAATAGAGTCTAGTGCCGAGCCGGAGGTTGCTATATGCATGCGAACATATCCCGTTCCGGACGATGATACAAACACACAGTGTCGAGCCACTCGAGGTTGGTCGAAGGGTTGGAAAAGGGTTGAAAAAGAGGGAGGCGCACGGCTGAATGTGCCCGCTCATGCACACCAGCCACGCGAATTCCGCTGAACATCCCTCGCGTTTAAGTGTGACAATCGTTCTTTTCTCTCAGGGTCGAGCTACTTTCCTCTTTGCTTGTCCTTTTCATTCTTCCTCTTTTTTTCGGTCCCTCTTTTTCGCCGTTTTTCCCTTGTTTTTTGTTGTTATCATCGTTATCAGAGATGATCGAACGAAGATGGATTGAGTTTACGACCTGAACGTGATTTCTTTTGCTATTTTTAAATTCATTTATACGAACATTTCTATACGCAAATGGAAGATTTAATCATCGGGCGTGAGAGAGTTTCGGGAAGTAGTTTAACGTTGCACTACTTCAAAAGACAGGAATATTGTTTTCCGAAGAAGCGCAAGGAAAACTAACGATCGAAAGAAAAGTGTCTGATTTAAGTTTGACTGAATAACATATTTAGACCGTACAAACTTTCAATGAACTTTGACTTTTTCATATTTATATATATTCTATCATTAGATTTGTTACTTGAAATAACAGAAATAATTTCCCCTAGTGAATTGTACGTACCACTTCTATTTCTTAACTATTTCTTTTTCCCCTGTGCTATTTCTATTTTGCTCCATCTTTCCTTATCTTCGAACTCGTTCTGCACCTATCCGTATTAGCAAAGTCTTTGTAAATATATATATCTGTTCCAAATACGTCAAATAATTTAAGTCGTTTCCATATCCAATTATGGAATTGCTTCTTTAGAATTTTTACGCTGTTGCTATCAAATTACCATACGAGCTAGAAATATATTTGCAGAGTAAAAATTATCGTTAGTTCTTTCTCAGAATCTATACACGGTTCATAAATGTTTCTGACGCATTTTGTAACCTCATTATGCAACTAATATTACTTTGTTCCCAGTCAGCACGTAGCAGAATATTCTTAAGATATTACTTCTGTAAATATGCCACATACTTTCGAGATTTGTTCACGTAGCTACACTCAGCGGAAAAAGCATACGAAAGCGAAGTTGTGCAGGTTCAGCTAGATGTCAAGCAGTAGCAAGTGTCAAGTATTAGAATCTCCTGAAACTAAGGGACGAAAGCTATTTATCCTATTTTTAGAATTACAACTAAAAATAGAAGACTTCAAAAGTGTCAATTTCCTTTTTTCCTAACGTGTCTTTCAACTTTCAACTTTCTTCGTCTAATACTCGTTATTAAACCTCAATTAATAAATCCTCGTTAGATCATCGATGGATTATAACGATTTGGACGAAATTATTTAATCTTACAATATTTTCGTTTAATTT